CAGATCTGGCGCTGGGGCAAGTTTGGCAAGTGGCGGCGCTTGACTTGTGGCTTTATAGATGTTGAATGTGGGCTCTGTGCATTCGTCGCGGAAGGACCTTTCCAGAAAGCATAAGATCCTGGAATTCGGCCAATGGAGACTAAAGTTATGATAATTTGAAGGTAAAAATAATTATTAATATGTCGTGAAATTGCAATTTTGGCCTTCGCAGCGATTTTGTCGGACGGATAAGGGTTAAAGGGGAAGTTAAGGCTAAAATCAAAATTTCACCAGTTGTAGTCTTTGGGGTGCTGAGTCGAATGGTCTTGGTCCGAGGAAGCTGAGACGCTCCCTTCCTACTTTATTCACAATCGAACTCGCGCACTTCCACCGAAACTGGGTGACTGCGCCCTACTAGATGGGGATTTGTATGCAAAATTTCACTAAAAGCGCCATTTCGTTCTTATAAAAGCACGGATGACCGCGATTGGCCCATATGTTAGAGTCTTTTGGACGCTGAGTCGACTGGTTTTGGTCCGAGAATGCTGCAATGCAGTGTTCCTCCTTTATTCCCAATCGAACATGGTTGAACAAGAGGTCACGTGCTCCTGCGTACACCAGTCGCCTGGTCGCCGTGCCAGCCTAGCACCTGCAGGGTACAACTTACAGCCTGTTTGGACCTTTTTTGGGTGCACTCCTGTCACTCTAGTTGAACTAGAGTTGAACCTTGGTGTGAAAGTTGTCATCATGTCATCTTTTTTAGCCAAATTTGACGTGAAATTGCCCGTTACATCGGAAACAACGGTTAAGATGCACGTTATTTACGATATGACGCGAAAGGTCAGCTCGCGTTATTTGGCACGCGCGTTGGAAAACAACACGAGTGTCCTGCAGCTCGCGTCGAAAATTGGAGTTTTACGCCAGATTTGACGTGAAATTGTGCGTCACGTCAGACATGATGCGAAAGTTCAGCTCGCGTTATTTGGCACGAGCGTCGAAAAACAACGCGAGTGACCTGCAGCTCAAGTCGAAATTTGGAGTTCTACGCCAAATTTGACGTGTAATAGCGCGTCACGTCGGAAATACCGTGCATCTTAGCCTCTCTATTATAGCTAATGCCTACTTTCGACGTGAGTGGTAGCTCTCTCGCGTTGTTTTCTAACGCGCGAGCCAAATATCGCCATAGGAACTTTCGCGTCACGTCGAAAATAGCGTGCAGCTTAACCTCTCTAGCGTGCCGAGTGTCTCAGCTTGCACTCACCGTACTGTCACTCCTTTACTTCTCCTGTCTCCTAATAACGGAGCTGTGAGCTTCAGCTGCGATTGAGAGAGGGATGGCGTCGCGTCGGTGACCATTCTGAGAGCAATGTGTAAACAACACCGAAAATCGCAAAGAAACAAAAATAATAATAATGGATATGTCTGGCGGGCCAAGTAAACGCTGCAGCAGATGCATCACACTCTACAAGAATTCCCATCAGCTTTCCTGGCAAACTGAATAAGCAGCTGGTGTTCGCAAGATGAGACGCTTTCACGGCTTACCCGAAAGAGAGAGAGAGAGACCAAGTCTTTGCGTTCGTCACTGAAGTAAAGACGAAAAGAGTTTCCTATCATCCTTGTGACCTTGCCATGTTCCGAAGAACCTGCTGCATGCACCGTTCTTGTACTGGCACAGTGGCTAACGACGTCATTGCCATTCCGTTACCAGGTTACCTCCGGATCAATCGGAGTGATGCCTACAGACAGTAGCTGCTCACACTCACAGTCACACATGTCATTGTGTGGTTTCAGGTGCAGCGACTTGCGCGTAGAATCTACTACTGTACTTTTGCCTCTCCTGAAACCATGGAAACTGCCCCCAATCCCTCGGACCCGTCTGAAGGTGATGACGCTGCCATGGATGCGGCTGAGAAGAATGATAATTATTATGGATCGTGAGTTGTTTGAGGTTGTGACGGAAGACGCACTAAATTTTGCGGAAGCAGAGACGTTTGATAAGCCAAATCTGGCCATCATTGCTGATGTGCTATTATTGGAGACTGTGCTTATATTACGGAGGATTAGCAAGACGAAATTCGCGTTCGCGTTCACTCTCCAAGGAAAGTCGAACTCAGTGACGGAATTCGCGTTATGAGAAGGATTAGCAAACAGAATTCGCACATGCGCATGACGTTGACACGACGGACATTGTGTACAGACAGTACAGCGTGGTAAATTTATGACTGCCCTGACACGAATCCGCGATTCGTGTTCCGACTACTTTTCCGAACGAAAAATGCGAAAGTTCGCTATCCAGTTCGCGTACTGAAAAATGTTTGCGAACGCGAACGCGAATTTCGTCTTGCTAATCCTCCGTATTAGAGATAATACGGTATGTAGGTTATTTGCACAGCACACAAAATAGCGATTCTAAGGATGCAGCAAATTTCGTGATTTGGCCCAAATCTGCAATTTTCTGCCAATAATTCCGCAAGCTCCTGGCAAGTTCGGCACTTTTCGCCGCATTTTGTTGTTGTTTTCTGCCGCAATTTATTGCGCCCGTTTTCGAGAATTTGTCGGCAAATTCCCACAGGGATAGTTTATTGAGCAGGAGTGGTGGTTTGTGCCGGTTTACCGATTGCAAGGTTCGACGTGCTTCTCGTGTGCTTCGGATAGGCCCCGTGTAATATGCCGGCATTTTTTTTAGCATTTTCGGTACAATCCGCAAACCCAGCAATTATTTGGGCTGCTGATGCAGCATTTTGGGGGAAACGGAGCACTTGGCCGTTGTGTATCAAGATTGAGAGAAGAAAAACTTCCCAAACAAGAACGTCACTTCCGCATTCCGTGGGTTAGCTTCTTGTTGAGTAGTTTATGAATTGTTTCCCATGGCAACTCGAGCAAGCCTCTTAGTTAAGTCTTATTGAGTATTTTCTGACTCCCTGGTTTTGACGGCGTGTGCTGAGGATTACAAAAAAGTGAGCATTTCCGAGCATTTTCGGCAAGGTATGGGAGCATTTTCGGCAAGGTTTACGAGAATTTCCCAAAAGCATTTTCGGCAAAGTTTCGGGCATATTACACCGGGGCCTAGCTTCGGACGGCAGTCCTCAGTCAGTCAAGTGTCGGCAGCGCGAGTTCCAACCTGAGGAGCAGCCATCTTTTTTTTTCGGATATTACCGCCGACGTCGCAATATCCTAGTTTCGCAGGTGTGGCCGAGCAGTTTAGGAAGCCTAGCGTATGAGCTGCAAAGCGCGTGGCATGGTTTTTCTGTGAAAGCCGCCTTCCATTAATGCATTGTGCTGCTGTATTCCGTCCAGAGATCGAGATGCATGGATGTATCGAAGCTGTGGCGAGTTTTGATGAACTCGTCGACGTATCCACACTTGAGTCTTCAATAAACATAATTATATGTACGACTCATAACCGTATTGCATTAGTATTCCTTCTTCGAGAGCAGGTCACGACTGATTTTCGTTCCTTCGTGTGCTAGCGGACCCCTGCGTGGTTTGCGTTTTGATGAGCCAGCGATTGCGGCTCGGTCGATCGGGTCGAGGTGTGAAGATCTACGGACGTCTGTCCGAGCCGAATCTGCCGGCGCACTGCCTGCTGTTCGCGCAGTCTAGAATCTTCTGAGTAGATCTACGTCTAGTGCTACTAGTTTGAGTGTCCGTAGGCTAGGCTGCATCTAATGCTAGCAGACGAGCAATTACTTCCCAACCAGGTGATTGTCGTTGTCTGGTGGAATTCTCTAGCTCTGTACAGAAGTCACCGTGCCACGTGCTAACTACGTGTGAGTAGCTGATTGGCCCATTTCAAAGTTCACACCAGACCGCGATGTCCTTTCCATGCATTAGCGAGTGCTTTACACGATGAAGCGGTTGTATTGTTACTGGTACAGTGGTAGACCACGCGGCTAGCACTGCTAGACTGCCACGGGCAAGGGCCGTTGGACGGCTTCCGAGAATGTTAAAGGGGAAGTATACCCTAAAATCAAATTTTCACCAGTTGTAGTCTTCTGGGTGCTGAGTCGAATGGTCTTGGTCCGAGGAAGCTGCGACGCTCCCTTCCTACTTGAATCCCAATCGAACTCGCGCACTTCCACCGAAACTGGGTGACTGCGCCCTACTAGATGGGGATTTGTATGCAAAATGTCACTAAAAGCGCCATTTCGTTCTTATAAAAGCACGGATGACCGCGATTGGCCCATATGTTGTAGTCTTTTGGACGCTGAGTCGACTGGTTTTGGTCCGAAAAGGCTGCGATGCAGCGTTCCTCCTTTATTCCCAATCGAACATGGTTGAACAAGCGGTCACGTGCTCCTGCGTACACCAGTCAGCTGGTCACCGTGCCTGCAGGGTACAACTTACTAGCCTATTTGACCTTTTTTGGGTGCAGTCCTGTCACTCGAGTTGAACTCGAGTTGAACCTTGGTGTGAAAGTTGTCGCCTGCTGGCGCGGTGGCCAGGTGATTTGGGCACCCAGGAGCACGTGACCGCTTGTTCAACCATGTTCGATTGGGAATAAAGGAGGAACGCTGCATTGCAGCCTTTTCGGACCAAAACCAGTCGACTCAGCGTCCAAAAGACTACAACATATGGGCCAATCGCGGTCATCCGTGCTTTTATAAGAACGAAATGGCGCTTTTAGTGACATTTTGCATACAAATCCCCATCTAGTAGGGCGCAGTCACCCAGTTTCGGTTGAAGTGCGCGAGTTCGATTGGGATTCAAGTAGGAAGGGAGCGTCGCAGCTTCCTCGGACCAAGACCATTCGACTCAGCACCCAGAAGACTACAACTGGTGAAAATTTGATTTTAGGGTATACTTCCCCTTTAAGGTCAAAGTAAGTTCACGCTCGAAGAATGCTAGCAGCTGCATCCGCTCGCCAGCGAGGCCGGGTTGAATCAACTTACTAACTAATATTACTTTTTCCTTGTAGATCAAGAACATGTTTCATTATTCGTTGTTGTTTGGAAGGAAGCACGTAATGTCCTTCTTCTCTGTTTGCTTTCTTTGAGGCTAACCCGAGACACTGTAAAGCCGGCCAGCATTTGATAGGTGTGTACAGAGCAAAGATAAGATGTAGTCGATAGGCTTATTTTTGAAGGATTCCGACTATCGTGTGCAGGTTTCTCAACTGGAGCGCCACGGGGAGCGAAGAAGGTAAATTTTGGCCTTCATCTCTTTCACCACGTGTTGTGTATTCCTCGCGAACCATCTTTGCGCTTTACAGGAACACTCCTGCCCGCATAACAACATGTGGCGTCTTCGTGTGGGTCCGCAGTAAATGTAAAACACTGTCCTGTGATGATTCAGCCCTGTCTTCTGTTGTCTTTCTCTTTTTCTTTGCAGCCAAGGAGTGTATCAAGAGGCTTGATGCGCATGCGCGGTGCGACGGCGGCACACTTCTGGCTGCATCTTTTTACATTTCCCAAGAGGTAAGAATTTCCTTTGTTGACTATCATTCTTATGTCGTAAGGGGATTCTGGTGTCCTAGTTGACCACCTTATTGAATCGTGAATAGGATGCACCTCCACTTTCTCCTTCACTCTTGCCAACTAGCAGTTCAACAAGCACACGATTATCTACTAACAAGCGTTATTTCTGTTGTTTTGTAGGAAAACATGTTGCTGTGTACCGCTAGCTATTGCGGACACTGGGATTGCCCTGCGGGTGCGCCACTCATATCACCTTGTCGGTCACAAACACCTGCTACGCTGTCGTACCGTCTGGATGTTTTGCGGCCAGAACCTTTGAACTCCAGGTATCCATCGCTGGAAGGGGTGCTCTCCTTTCGTTCAGGTACAGTACCCATGTTGGATCAGTTTTACTACAATGCCTTTGTCCGTGTTTTCACTGCTCCTTCCTAGCTGCATTTTGCATTTCTGGCATCGACGCCAAAATATAATTAATAGGATCTGGGCCATGAACCTGTAGTTTTTTATGAGTTTCCACTCAAACCTATCTATTTCCATTTGGGAAGACAGCACAGGATGTGCGCTCTTACAACTCACTTCGCACTGCTGGTATTGCCTCTCATAAAAAAAGAGATTTGTTCGATTATATCGTGGCGCTGTTTCAGAAACCTAGCGACGGTTTGTTGCTCCACCTTGGGACCTATCTGTCCATACAGCTTATGTAGGTCTTGTGTTGTGTGTGTGTGTGTGGGGGGGGGGGGGGGGGGGGTATGATTCCGCCTGCTATTGCTTGGTGTTTATGGTTCCGTATCTCCTGTCGTGGTCCTGGAAATCCGGTCGAATGACCAGGGCCGGCGCCCTCAGTGTGTACAGAACGTTGCATGCAGTGTATAATTATATTGTTCGTATGCGTACTCTCGGCTTCATGGCCAGCGTCCTGGGCCGCTTGACCTCCGACCAGATTTCCAGGTGCATGACAGTAGTTAGGATAATGACATAGATCAACCGAAATCAGGAGCCTGTAAAATGTGCTAAATGTTTGCTTTTTATCATTTTATGCTTTTCTTTATCTGCTTTTCATGAGTTTCCAATAATCGCTACTAAACTGACTAATTTCTAAACCTAATATCGAGAGTACCTATACTGTAATGTTGATGGATACTCCACTGAACAGTAATATCTTAATCTAAAAGCTAATTATTTTATAAACCAAGGTAATAAGTTTAAAATGCTGCTGATCTTCGGCAGAAATATAACCTGAACCTAAAACTACAATATACGCCAAACAGTGAAGTAAATGCTGCTGATTTCCAGCAGATAGATTCGCTGGAGCTGACCTAATCCATACTAAATTTAGTTGCTAAAACTGCTATTCGAACTAACCATACAGTGAAGTTAATAAGAACTATGGCTAAAATTCCAATCAGAACTAATTGATTAACATAGGAATACTCATAAGAAGGAGGGAAACTTGGTAACTGCATGAGCTGTATGGGCAATAACTCCATGGCAATAGAATTTTTCGCCATCTCCCGAGATGGTCGTGAATCCTGGCTTCAAAGCAACCAATAGTGCAATGAAATTCTGCCAATTCAATGTTCGCCATGATCCATTGTGGTTGCGACATCCTGTGCTATCTCTCTTGTGTACTTTCCCTGTGGTTCACGTACTTTTGTGGATGACCTATTAGTTGCAGATGTCCTTTTCAGCTGGATGAGTGTAATGCTTGTTTGGTATCACATAATCCTAATGTTCTGCATTTCTCTCTTTGTTCCCTTCCAATGACCACATGGGCATGGGAGAGTGTATTCCAGGATGCAGGACTGCAATAACATGCTCTCTCAATGGTGGCCGTGTTTGTGAGCCATCTGTCACTCAGTGTGCACAGGTAGGCAGCTTCGTGGTGTATATGTGTTAGACTCGGTAGGCAGTCGGGAGTCAGGTATGCAGTCTAAATCCTGAAACAGTCGGACGGTATGCCCCTACAGCATCTATAGATAGTGTACTTACTCCGTTAACAAAAACTTCGTGATGGAATTTTGAGGGGCTGATTTGGGCACAAACTGCCGTGAAATGAGTCGCAATCACTTTCTTGGCCTTACCTGGTATGCCATGACAAAGGTAGGATGCAAGGAAAGCGACCTTTCACAACAAGCCGAGCGGAATCGATGGTTGCGTTGTGGAAACATAGGTGATGACAGTCATGGCAAGCAAAACTGAAATACCACTTCTCCGAGGGGATATTGCGCTGCTTGGCCTCTCTACCACTTTAGCACTGAGTAAGTTGGAGAGTGATAGAGAGCGATAAAACGGAGCTGCGAACCCACATAATGAGCGAGTGAACAAAGAGCTGCTCCGATCGCACGGCTCAGTGTAAATAATTCTGAACTCAAGTTCTTGTTCAACCTGCGCAAAGCCCAGATTCGAATGCTGATGACCATGCATTCTTTCAGAAGTCTGCAGTCCAATGCCAGTCTCTTGGCTAAAGAAAGTCAACTGGACTTTCTAGCCGCTGCCGTTCAGTGCTGGTATCCATTAGAGAAAATAGAATCAGTTTGGCTGTGCCTTTACTCCTCGTTCCCCGCGGAGTTCTGGAGAGCGAAGATGAAACCAGGGAGTCATAAAATATTTTTTCACGGCTCCGTGGTGGAAACGAGTAATCGCCATCGTGGCGGATCATGCAGCTTGAAAGCCAACTTCAGGGCTAGTACTTGTACAGAAACACGTGGGCGCCATCTTGGTTCACGTGACATGTGTCAGACCATGCTGTGTACAGGGAATCTTGCCGTACTTCGCGTCGACTCTGGCCTGTTCAAATCCACGCAAGTGAGCCACAGTTCTCTCTAGCAGGCTGAGATTTTGCAGGCACCGAGTTCAGATGTGGGCAAAGGGATTCACCGAAGGATTTTTTGATTTTCGCAATTTAGACCTCAAATAACACCCTAAAACTCGGTAAACGTGTCCCACCTCTAGGATCGTTTTGGCGAAATTCGCTTCGGTGAAAGTATGGAGCATCTCCTACTGAAAATTTTGAGCCATCGATTGTCAAAATCGGCTCATGTGGAGCTCACTTGTGTCGTTTTGAAGGACGCCGCGCCACGCGCGACTTGCGCTGGTTCTTTCACAAACGGAAGACACCTTCCAGTCAGAACTGCAGACTGTGACAGTGCAGTGCGCACGGCAAGGAAAAGAAGGAGACGTGCATTTTCCATTTGTTGCACTGTGTCCTTTGCTTTGCAAAATCTTGAGCTAGAGAGAAGACTGACTTACAATCTGATTCATCTAGGCTTCAGCGTGATGCACATATCCAGACCATAGGAAATATTGGGAAAGGAACCGGGAACCACGAGAATAATTTTTCTGGAGCGAATCCAATTATTACCATGGTTCCTTGTTCTTGAACACCGCGCTCCACATCGTCAATGTTCTGCGAGGTAAGGATTTCAGGACTACTGTCGGTTTGTTCGACCTCGGGGCGATCTGATCTACGTCCAGCTGGCCATGATACTGAGCCGAACTGGCCACTAGTTCGCTTCTTTCTCGACTCGGGATAATCAAGCCGGTCAGAGTGCGATTTCCTACCCTGGATGCGATCCATGGTGCGGACTGAAAATAGCTACTGAACACCTCCTTGTACAAGCAGTGACATACAAGACCGGTGGTGGATACAAACTGACAACAGGAAACCCTAACAGCACCCGCTCAGTCAAAGAAAGTCGAAGGGAAGCAGTTCGAACTAGTTCCAGCACCACCAAAAAATAAAACTATGATAAAAACTAGCACTTGCTCTTGTAGGTCAAAGACTGCACTGGCAAGTACACTTTTGCGCAGTCGCGATCTCGCGGCCCCGCATCACGTGCGGGTATATGACGTAGCGTGATTCAAGATGGCCTCTGACGTGTTTCCCGTTTTGTGATCCCAAATACCAGCCCTGAACTTACTTGAACGACGGTGACATCAAGGCCAGCGGAGTGTAATCAAAGAAGCCGAGGCAAGGCTGAAACGAGCTGAACAACGACTCGAGAGAGATGTCGACTCGCGTACAGCAGATGACGACTCGCGTGCAGCAGATGACGACAGCGACGCAGGTCAAAAATGAATCGAGCGAAAGCGACGCAAACGGAACTCTCTGCTCATTTCGCCAACAGTTTCTCTTGTAAAGACGCTGTACATAGGCTCAATCACCTTCGTCCAGTGATTGGCAGTTGATACAAACTGTTCTTGACCTGTTCTAAGCATTTTCATATCCATCAAAATCCATCACGAAGTTTTTGTTAACGGAGGAAGTAGTTGTATTCCCGGTATGCAGTCACTGTCCTACCCAATATTGTAGACAGCAAGCTGTTTCAGCCATAAAGGCCCCATCAGTATAGATAGTGTTGTTGGATTCCCAGTATGCAGTCACTGTCCTACCCAATGTTGTAGACAGCAAGTTGTTTCTGCAATATAGGCTATCTTCTTTTTTTCATTGCTTTTGGTGCGTGTTTGTGGCCGTGACGCCGAGACCTCAGGTCGCCAGAGTCATCAATGCCCCACCATCACTGCTGCATCTCGGTGCAGCGCCTGCTCATTAGTTGTCACGTTTATCCTAGTCTCTGTACCATTGTCTTTACTTATCCTTTTCGAGCTGGTTATGTGAACATAGTAAAAAAAGAAAATAGAAAAAAGCCCCATCAGTACAGCTATGAGCTTTAAAATTATTATTATTATAAGCACTATCACAATGTGAGCGGGGATGCCTACTTCACTTGTGCCATTCAGGATGATGATAAAGAGAAAGACAAACAGAAAGCTCAGAATCTTGAAGAACAATGCTGCAGAGAACAATAGCTGTGATCGATAGGATGCGCTACAGAAAGGTGAAAATTACTAGTTCATTGATATAATAGCTGGTGAGCCAAGACAGAAAAGGCTGGCGCACCCTGAAGGCAACTTGCTAGGACCAAACTGTTCAAACCACTCCACACCGATTATTCAGAAATGAGCTTTATAAAAGCAGATTAAAATCAAATTTTCACCAGTTGTAGTCTTCGGGGTGCCAAGTCGAATGGTCTTGATCCGAGGAAGCTAAGACGCTCCCTTCCTCCTTTATTCCCACTCGAACTCACCACTTCCACCGAAACTGGGTTACTGCACCCTATTAGATGGGAATTTGTATGCATTTTCACTAACAACGCCATTTTGTTCTTATATAAACGTAGATGACCGCGATAGACTCATATGTTGTAGTCTTTTGGATGCCGAGTCGATTGGTTTTGGGTCCGAGAAGGCCGCAGTGCAGCGCTCGGCC